ATGGTGTCTCTTACCAATGCTCATACCAAAACTAAACATTGATATAGGTAATTGGTTACAAGATATGTGAGGTATAAAGGGTGGGAATCTAGAAAAGCAAGGATTCTCCTTTAATTAGGACTAAAATTAATGAGAGCCCTCCTATTTTAATTCATGTTTTTACTTTGACCTGCCTCCTTCCCTGTAATGTTCAGGGCACGTAGATGAAGAGAACATTAATTGGTATCCACATAATGCACAAAGCAAGAATATATTAATGCCTTAGCTTTGAAGGTTAAAAAATTAAAATAAGAGAGTTGTGCAGATCATATCTTACTTTTTATCCTCCTTTGGATATTTATCCCAATAACATAATCACTATCAGTCTCATTCACTCTCACTTTCCACTGAGCTTGTAGAAAGATGATAACCTCAGTATTTCTTTAAATGAACAAAGAAAAGCCTACTCTCTTACCACAGATAGTTCCTTTGGGCATCATCAGTACAAACGTAGTCTAATTTGTACATGAAGCTATTATTCATGGTAGGCTAACCTTAAAAATTAGTTGTGAAAATTTTGTGTACCTGTCGTATGTCTTCAATGTTTGACTCAATTTTACCTCACTAACCTAAACTGAATAAAGGGAAACTTAAATTTTATTTGTTCTCCTTTTGAGGTGTGTATCAAAATTTTAAAGTCATCACAGGCTTAAACTACAGGTTTATAGGAAATCTGCATGTGCATGTGTTTTCAACATGTGAAACCGGGATTATGTCTACTTCAAAGGACTTTACTACGTGCCGTACAGGTAAAGGCAGGTGTTGTAAAAAAGTTTGCTAAGCTTTTTCATTAGTAAATATTTCTTTTTCTAAGAATTTTGTTTATCCAGCCTATGCTGAATTCTAATTTTTCGACCAAACTGATTTTCTTTTGAATATTCTTAGATCTCCTATCATTTAATATTCATGTAATTAAACAAATTACTTGAAATCTTGCAGATATATGGCACATTATTCTTTCCGCTGATCCTCCTAACATTTTATTATGTGAAGGAACTGGTGTTGGCGATAAAAGTATGTCAAATCTAATTTTTGGGCACAGCCTATTATGAAATTTATGCAAGTTATAAAATATTTTATCCTTCTTAAAAGTAGTTTATCAGAATAAGAATGGGTTACGAGGCACAAGTATGGTAACAGGTAATATCTCAAGTTTTCCTAGGAACACCAACATAATATGCTTATGATAACGCTTAAAAGAGCATATGCAGTCTCCGTTTTCACTGTCGGCTTCTTGTTACCAACTATTTTGATACTGATAATATACACAAAGATCTTCCCAACTGCAAGTTCACTGGTTCGTAGAACCCCAGGCTTGGACGCGGCAGAAGCCGTTGCGTGCAAAGTCCGTGAAGAGCGAAAAGTTGCCTTGTCACCGTCAGCATTTTAACAGGTTTTTTCCTAATGGCCTGGTCGCCTTTCTTTTTTCTTTCAATGCTGGCTGAATTCTGTGCAGGCTGTTTGCCTAAAGGGGACGGTATGAATGCGTTAGTGGTATTCGTAAAATAGATGCCGCGGCATTATTCAAACGGCATAGTGAATCCGCTGGTTTTTGTCATCAAACACAGCGAAATGCAGAAACGTGTTTTTAAGCTATTCGGAATCAGTATAAGGAGAGGACGTAAAAAGAACGTCCAACAAAATGGCTGACGCGATACTGTGATTGACTGAACTAGACCTTCCCAAAGTAAAATCAACGACTTTCGGCTAAAGATCTTGGACGGAGATACGCGGTATCGAAATTGTGGATTTTGGTTGCGTCACAATAAAACTCACCTGATCCTTCCAAAGGCCCGGTAATGTTGCAATGATCACCCATTCATTGGCAGTCAGTTTTCTGTTTTCCCTACTTTTTACTCTTTTAGCAACGACTAATCCCCCCTTTTCCCCCCTGAAAAGCGTGTGACCCCCCCCTCCCTAAAAAATGTTCCCTAGTCGCAAAGACCAAGGATTCCCGCTATGTTAAAGAAGGAAACAAATTCGAACGCTCCTTTCAGATTTCAACACTCTATGGCGCTAAAACTGAGACTGATCGCGAAATAAAGGAAGAGTGCCTTTCCGTTCTTTAGTATACAAATATTCATGAAAAAAATACCACAGAGATTGTATCCTTAAGTCACCAAGGTGCTTACATTTTATTGCGGTGCTGTTCGAGATTTATAAATATTCTAAAACATTACACTGGTACTGGTGCCTCACCAACAGGGCGGTTTACGTCCGTTGAATGGGAAAGCAATCAGGCCCGCATGCGACTTGGGTATACTTCTTAAGACTAGCATTAGGTTAGATATCATATAAGCATTAGAAAAATCACGACGCTGCCGTTGCTGTGCGGCATATAAAGTGTAAGGTTTGTCATACGTAATAAAAATTAACAATACGTGTTCCTCACTACGCCTGAAATTTTTGAAACTTAACGTTGTCTGTGAGGCTTGTGTGCAAGTTATGAAAATTTGATACAATGTGAGACTAAAACGAAGGGTTGTTTATAATTATCTGAATGAAGAGTGACTGGCAAATATAGGCGTACAACGATTTCACTGTTATAGCTAACGAAATCAACCTTAACACTAAAGATAAGATAAAAATCCGATTGACTTTGAAAATTCTATTGATTCCCACCATTCTCTGAAGAAAAAAGCCGATTCATCATTTATTCGTTTAAAAAAAGCGAAACTTTTACGTCTAAATCAACATCCGCAACTCAACTAAATCTTGCTAAACTACTAGTTGCTTCATAAGTCACATCATTCATTCAAATGAGTTTTTCTTGGTAAATTCAAAAAGAATAATATTCGTGCGTTTACACAATACAGCTTAATGGTGGTTGGAGTTTAGGTGACTACGTGCAGATCTCCATTTTGCGAGCGTTTATTGCGATAGCGAATGACAAGGTAGATAGTAGCGCAGATGACAGCTACAGCCACAACACCGCATACTGCTCCAACAATTTCTACTGTCTGGAAAGACTGGCTGGTCTCCTCTTGGTCTTCAGATGCAACTGAAATGAAGCAAGTAGATTTCAGTTTAATAGTAGTTAATAATAGTTAAATTATCGAGGGCGTAAGTAGATTATAATGTTACAACGTTCCGTGTCTATCAGTAAAGGCAGAGAAACTGAAAATATATGAAAAGGGACATTTCCATAGTCTTCCTGGAGGTTCCTGTTCAGCCTTTATTAATTTTCTGCAGTCTTCATTACACTATATGACATTGCATATTGTTCCATTTATATCATATCTGACGTATTCAAGTTATCTTCCAGGTTCTACAAGTTGCCCCACGCGAACTCTATCTAACTTGGTCAGTTATCTTGGAAAACCAGTCTTGGTTAGTAGAGAATGTGGAAAGCACCTAACAAAATTCCTGTCCCATTACTAAAAGCCCTGTGAATTATCATTTACCTTCATCTTTGTTTAGTTCTTCTTGCTTAAAGGTGAATGGACCGTAGACAACACGATAAATCTGTGACTCATCCACCGAATCAGAGACTGAACGACGTCTACGCCCCGGCCACATTACCAGAGTAATATCAGTGGAAGGATCACCTATGCAAGTGGCAGCATTATCTGGACATTGACATTTGGTATTGGCTACATCTGCCAAGCAAACTCTGAAATCGCAGTGGATGTAGACAGAAGCTCCTGCTTCTGCCCCAAAATACCGATAACTTTTGAGTGAGAACATTTCATATTTGCTGCTTTCGGTACAATTGTATGACAATGTGTCGCTGAGGTCTTCGCTGACATTATCGCTGCCACAACTATGAAGAAATGATAAAAAAAATGGTAAAATTAAGTGACGTAAGCAAAATTCCTCCTACTCTTTGAGGTAACACATTTTTTCTTAAATAGACAATATCCAGGTAAATCCATAGAATCGACTCTATGTTCTTTACTGAGTTGATACCAGGCTCACAGCATACAAGAATAGCTTCTTGCGAAATCTTCAGTGGTAGGTTCTAATACGAGTTTTGGAAGGCTTACCATTTATTAGCAAGAAACTGAAAAAATTGTCATGGGTTTCATTATTTTAAGGAGAGACTTATTTCTTTTAGAAATAAACAGTGTTACTCACTCATGTTTAATTGATATTGGTTGTTATTATCATTGATATCATAATTATACATTAGTCATGTATAACGGGCAGGTTTTTCTCACAGAAATTCTTACCCGTTGCTTATAAGAGTAAAGTTAGCACCAGTATCATCTGGATTATCGCTTTGTGATGAATAGCATCGCACAGGGTACAAGTCAAGGTTGGGTGCATTGCTTTGAGTCTCGACTTCAGCTTTGAAGAAAATCTCTACATCCAGATCAACAGAGCCGTAAAGGGGTATTGTATGTGCGTCGTCCATATACGCCATGAGAGAAAAGGTGAAAACTCCGTCCTCTAAAAATGACAAAAGAGACCACAAAAGCGAGTAAGGAAAAGTAAAACAAAGCAAAAAAAAATTTTAAAAGACTTTATCGAACACATTTGCATTATTCAAGGATTTTGCTCGTCCTGATAAATGCAAGGCTAGGTTAGCAAACTGAATGAAGTCTAGTTGAGACATCTATTCACTGAGCTGTAACTACTACTCCAGGAGTAGTTACAGGTTACTGATCGACGAAAATAAACAATTTAAAAACTTTACATTTTTTCAGGTTAGTTGATAATAACAAGTCTGTTTGGACCAGCATGCTCTAATATTCCTGTGGCGTTAAGGATGGAAAGTAAAACTTTCTCCATCACCAAACGAAATACGGATGCATCTTGTACACATGGCTGTCTTTCAATTTTTTATATCAAATTGAAGTCAAATCCACCTTATCTTGAAAAAGAGATTATTTGTTCCTCTTTTTTTTCCATCAGCCACTGAAGGACAGCTGGTCAATATATTCGGTGGCAAAGGTTTGATAGACGCTCCTCAAGAATCTCCACTTCGCAGGAAAACATTCTAAGATTGTTTATGTAAATTATACAAGCTGTTGTCTTAACCAGAGCTGCATACCTGTGTCGTTATCCGCTCGGTTCTTGATCGGCACAAAACTCGCCGAAGCTCTGCCTGCGTTATCGTAGTTACACGTGACGTAGTACAGGTGGTCATAAGTGCGCAACTGCTTTGTAACTGGATCACCTGCAGTCTTTTCAGCGCTAATTTTGAGGATGTATTGAATTCCTTCAGCTTTCTGGTTTGACTCGTAAGCACAGTCAGGGAGGTATAGAGCTTCATAGGTAACTGTTTCAGCACCATCATCAAATGTTGGTTGACACGCTGCAGTGTTTGTCGATGTTCTCCACTCTGGCGGGTCCCAAAATTCTATATCATCCACGTTTGAGATCACTATACTCACAGTGTGATCGGAGTTACAAGTCACTGAGGCTGACGTCTGACCTGACAGGGATTGAAAAACAATTTTTAACTCCAATTTTTTCATTTATGATGGGTAATAATGCATTCCATTTAGTTGTAGTTGTGAGAAAAGAGACGCTTTATAATAATAAAATGTTAAGGAATCCAAATTAAACCGGCGAGGAAATCGCAGATTTAAACTCTTTTATTTCATAATTGGTTTTCGTAATGCTTAGATATAATCGTCAATTCATATAGCCCACGAGGAATAGTAAATGGTTATAATAATTTTTGAATCAAGATGAATAAAGACGAGAGGAATGCGTTACCTTTTGTTTGATGTAAAACAAGCATAAATGTCGCCAAAAGAATTGCCCTCTTCATATCGATGATTAGGTTCTCGTGGATCTGTGGCAACAAATATATAGATGAAAGAATTGTAAAAAGTTGTTGAAAATCACGAGCAAATAGAAAACAATCTATTGAAAAAGGATAAGGTGTGCCCTCTGTCTTGAGTACCTAAAGACCTCAGGCACAGTTTTTCTCAATACGGACCTCCCGGCTGGCGAATAACATACATTTCTTATGCGGACGATTTCCGTTTTCAAAATAATAAAACAATTCATTTATAATGATCTACAACTATGTTAAGAATGAAACTATTTCACAATAGCTTTATATATGATCATTTGACGAGAACTAAACTGCCAAGGTCACGTCGTGACTTCTAGAACTGTTTTGTTGTTTGTTTGTTTCAAGCGGCGTACAAATAACACTTTGCCACAGGGAAAGGTCATGAATTCTCTTAGATGTCACTTCGTGACTTCTAGAACTGTTTTGTTGTTTGTTTGTTTCTAGCGGCGTACAAATAACACTTTGCCACAAGGAAAGGTCATGAATTCTCTTAGATGTCACTTCGTGACTTCTAGAACTGTTTTGTTGTTTGTTTGTTTGTTTCTAGCGGCGTACAAATAACACTTTGCCACAGGGAGAGGTCATGAATTCTCTTAGATGTCACTTCGTGACTTCTAGAACTGTTTTGTTGTTTGTTTGTTTGAAGCGGCATAAAAATAACACTTTGCCACAGGCAAAAGCCATGAATTCTCTTGTATGCAAGTCCCAAGAATACAATAGGCTCTTACCTTTACAGTAAAATTCAGCTGGTTTAAAACTTGGTGCTTTATCCCTTTGAGGTGCCCTTTTCGTTGAATAATACAATGATTTTTGGCTTGAATATGTTAAAGGTGCAAATGAAAGCCGCAGGAAGTTATTTCCGTTTGAATCTTCAACTAAGCGTAGAAGGCAGAATATTGACAGTGGTATTGCTAGGGACCGAAAAAACAGTTTTCAGCCCGAACAGGTGAAATGCAAAGAATTAAGCGACAAAATGTTTCTCGATAAGTCAGCAAGACATGATTAAAAAAGGCAACTGAGAAATCAAAAAACCTGCTTTACGAGCTTAGCTGCGGCCTGAAGAATTGGACAGAAACATTCAGGTTTAAACGTGATTGAATTCAATGAGTGGCTTGCTAGCTGAAGTTCATTTCAGATCAATTCACCATTCTCAACTAAATCTGTTATAGTGGTTGTGTCCGGCTCTGATAAAAGTGAAAATACAGAATTTTTTTTTCGTGACTTCGTGAACTGCCCTATTATTTCTTTGTTTTGTTCTAAAAATTCCGTAAATAGCGATGAGAAATCATTGCCTCAAGGCGAAACAACACTTTCTTTGATCGCACGACTTACTTAGCACTGAACCCAAAGGTGAAATTTCGATACGAAACATTTCTTCGATTTAATATACCTTTTCTTGAGTATTGTTTTTACAGCTTGTAGATGATAGAGAAGCTGCATTATTTTTTCTCAGATCGTAAGTTGAAGTCTAGGCCCTCCTTGAAGCGTTGAAAGTGACAGGCGGAGGTTATTAACAATAGTATTGAATAAAAGTCAATAAAATACGAGCACATAAGGCAAAAAGCACGAAAAGGTGAAAAAAATACTAAACGAAAAAATGTTCGCTGAAAAAATTCTGCAAAACGAGTTTGATCAAAGTAACAGTAAAACAAGTTCACTTTGAGCTGAGGACGGTGTTGACAGTAGCTTAGTTTGTGTACCTTTTTCTTATTGGTACACATATATTCAAATGCGTTTTGCGCAAAAATTAGCCATGGTTTATATGGATGCCTCTGGTCAAAGAACTATATCAAAGCCCATTTACGATTGTCAGGGAGAGGAATAATTTGATATTCTTTGCTAGGAACTCTAACTTCTTGGGTTACAATCCGGATTAACTGACACTCTCCACTGACTAAGACAAAAATATTATTACGCTGACACTGACACAATTTCTTCACTTAATACAACGACTCCATCGTTAAGTTCGAGAGCCCTGCATTTTTGTGGAAAGCATTTCTATTTTACCCTTATCCCAAAAGATGACGAGAAAAATTCAAACACATGCTTTCAAACTTACCAAAAGTTTCTTCCTCTATCGAATAAACAAACTCTTTGACAGCAACAGTAAATTAACAAGACGCGATGGTTAGCTATTTCCTTTGAAAAAAAAAGAGAAAAGGCAATGAAAATCATAGACAGAACTTATGAAAACTTTTTGCTTTAACAGTGTTGTTACCTCTCCGGAGTCTGATGGCCAACTGAAAGCAGTTCTTTCTTCCCGAACTATTGTTGCAATAAACAAAAAACAAAAGTTGGAATGAATGTCAGTAAGAATGGGACTATTGAAACTTAAGAGCACAACTGAAACGTTAATTAGACTCATTGTGCGGTGCTCTATTATAGCGTGGGCGATAAAGGATTTAAGGTGATACGTGATTAAGGCGAAAACTGACTGATATGTGACGCATGAACTTTTCAGAAAGCCAGCGTGATTCTTGAATTTGAGAACCAGCGTGAGGCATGATTTGTCTCCTAAAATAAACGTGACCCACTGATTTTTTTCTGTTTTAGCTCATGAAAACCTCAAACTTTCTAGGAAATCCTTGTGCATAAGAAGAGAGATTTGAAGTTTTCCCTTTTATATGAGTAAAGCGTTAATTTTTCTGAGATTTGTAAGTGAAACGGGATCAGCCACCCCCCCCCCAATCACTTCGCTACACACCACAATCCCCCTGACCCCCCCTCTTCGCTACCCTCTTATAGATCATCTGCTTCTTTAAAATGACCTCGCCAAACATCTGGAGTGAACTACTAAGTAGCAGCTATGTCTTCACGAAGACAAGTACGAGGCTATGCACATCATTTACTCACGCGATGAGTCAGTTATCAAATGCACTTCTGGTGACCCTTTGAAAAACGTGGACAATTCAAAGATATCTGTGTCACGATATGAAAGGATCTCTCAGGACAACTATGTCAATATGACCGTAGATTCAGGTGTAATCAAGCACTCTGTCTGTTAGTTAATTAAGCTGAGATCTAGATATCTTTTTATCCGTAACATCTTAGCTATTTATTTTGGTTGTTTATTCTATGTATTTAGGGCGGAGGACAAAGGATGGACCCCCGTAACTCCCTTTGGCAAGAAGAATTTTAACTTCAGATCTTGTTTGTACGTCATTTGTTTTCACGAGCGTGGGTCAGAGAAAAAACCCGAACTTCTAACTTCACTTGGAATCGAGACAAAGACCTCTGAATTTTGCGCTCGGATACACTACCACTCTCGATGGTAAGGATTGGTCATCATTTAGCCCCATGGAAGGGGGGTCGGATAGGGGGAAAGGGGGGGAGGATTTTGGTAAATGTTAGTTTAATCACGACGCTGCCGTTGTTGTACTGCAAATAGAGAGTAAACTTTGTCCTACGCATTAAAATTGAAAATTCGTGTTCCCCACTACGTTTGAAATTTTGTGTGAACTTGACGTTGTCTAGAAGGCTTGTGTACAAGGTGTTGAAACAATGAGAGATTAAAACGAAGGGCCGTTAATTTGAATCGCGCACATAAGAGTGACAGGCAAATATAGGAGTACAACGACTTCACTATTATAGCTTATGGAATCAACCTTGACAAAAATTCGATTAACCTTGAAAATTCTATTGATTCCCACCATCATCTGAAGAAAAAAGCCGATTAATCATTCATTCGTTTGAAAAAAAAATTTATGTCTTCATCAACATCCACAACTCACTGAACCTTATCGAGTTGTTTCATATGTCACATCTTTCAAATGGATATTGGAGATCTACACTTTGCGAGCGCTTGTGGCGATAACAAATGACAAGGTAGACAGTAGCGCAGATGACAGCTACAGCCACAACACCACATACTGCCCCAACATTTGTTACTGTCTGGAAAAACTGGCTGGTCTCCTTTTGGTCTTCAGATGCAACTGAAATAGAAGCAAATAGATTTTAGATTAATCATTGAGTTAAACTATCGAGGGCGTAAGTGGATTATAATGCTGAAGCGTTCAGGGTCTACCAATAAAGGCAGAAAAACTGAAAATTTATGAAAAGGAACATTTCCATAGACTTTCTGGAGGTTCTTATCCAGCCTTTGTTAATTTTCTATAGTCATCATTAAGCTATAATACATTTTTTCCGTTTGTATCGTATCCGAAATGTTCAAGTTATCTTGCAGGCTCTACAAGTTGCACCGTGCGGCCTCTATTTCTAACTTGGGCAGTTATCATGGAAAACCAGTCTTGGTTATCAGAGAATGTGGAGAGCACCTAACATAATTCCTGTCCCATGGCTAAAAGCCCTGTAACTGATCATTTACCTTCATCTTTGTTCAGTTCTTCTTGCTTAAAGGTGAATGGACCGTGAACAACATGATAAAGCTGTGACTCATCCATCAAATCAGAGATTGAACGACGTCTACGCCCCGAACAATAGCAGTTACAGCTTACTGATACGAGGACAGGACAAAAATTTTTTTTTTAATTTAAATTGTTTCAAGTTAGTTCATCATAACAATTCTTTTTGGGCCAGCATGCTCTAATAGTCCCGTAGCGTTAAGGATGAAAAGTAAAACTTTCTTTATCACAAAACGAAATACGAATGCATTTTGTACACATGGATGTCTTTCAAAATCATGCCAGGCTCTTAAAAATGTTTATTCCCAAATTTTTTTTTTTTTTATGTCAAAGTAAAATCAAATCTACCATATCTTGATAACGAGATTATCTGTTTCTCTTTTTTCCATCAGCCACTGAAGGAAAGCTGACCAGTATATTCGGTGGCAAAGGTTTGATAGACGCTCTCCAGGAATCTCCACTTTGCAGGAATTCAAACTAAGATTACTTATGTAAATTATACATGCTGTTATCTTAACCAGAGCTACGTACCTGTGTCGCTAGCCGCTTGGTTCTTGATCGGCACAAAACTCCCCGAAGCTCTTCCTGTATTGTCTTAGTTACACGTGACGTAATGCAGGTGGTCGTAAGCGCGCAACTGATCTGTATCTGAATCACCAGTAGTCTTTTCAGCGCTGATTTTGAGGATGTATTGAATTCCTTCAGCTTTCTGGTTTGACTCGAAAGCGCAGTCAGGGAGGTGTAGGGCAATATTGGTAACTGTATCAGCATCAGCATCAATGATTGCTGCGTGACACGCTACAGTGTTTGTCTTTGTGGTCTACTCTCGTAGGATCCAAAGTCCTGCATCATCCACGTTTGAGATCAATATATCCACAGTGTGATTGGAATTACAAGTCACTGAGGCCGTCGGCTGGCCTGAGTGGGAGTAAAAAAACAATTCTTAACTCCAACTCTTTCATTTATGATGGGTAATAATCAATTCCATTTAGTTGTAGTTGTAAGAAAAGAGACACTTTATAATGATAAAATGTTAACGAATCCAAATTAAACCAGCGAGGAAATCGCAGATTTAAATTCTTTTTTTTCATAATTGCTATTCATAATGCTGGGATATAATCGTCAGTTTCTGAAGCCCACGGGGAATAAGAAAAATTGTTATCATAATTTTGGAATCAAGATTAATAAAGACGATCTGATCTGAATGCGTTACCTTTTGTTTGATGTAAAACGAGCATAAATGTCGCCAAAAGAATGTCCCTCTTCATGTTGAGTATTAGATTCTAGTGAAACGGTAAAGAAAGAAAAATTGAAAAAATTGAAGAAAAAAATTTTTTGAATCACGATCAAGTAGAAAACGATTCATTGCGGTGGCAGAAAAGATGATCATGGAGACGAATAAGAAAAACAAGAGGAAGAACTACGAAAATAAAAGCAATAAAGAAGAAACACGTCAACAACAAAACAGAGACATCAACGAAAAAAAAAATTGAGACGACGAAGTAGAAGGTGAGGAACGACGTCAGCAACAAAGCCAATTGAAATAATTTCATGATGATATTTTAACACTCAAAAAAAAAAGTGAGCATAAAACTAAATTTTCAATGGAAAGATGGAAAAAATCAACGACTCCCTCTTTAATTTTCGAGGTGATACTTTTCTTTTGTGACTTCGTGAACTGCTGTATTGTTTGTATGATATGTATGTCGCACAAATAACTTGAGCGCTGAACCCAACAGTAAAATTTAGCCGATGATAGTTTGAAACATTTTTTTCTATTCAATATACCTTTGCTTGAGTATTATTTTGACAGCTTATTAACAATAGTATTGAATAAAAGTCAATAAAACACAAGCCAAAAAGCACGAACAGGTGAAAAAAACTATATGTAAAAAATGTTTTCTGAAAAAATTCTGCAAAACGAGATTGATTAAAATAACAGCAAAACAAGTCCACTTTGAGCTGAGGTGGAGAAAGTAGCTTAGTTTGTGTACTGTATTGGTATACCTGTATTCGAATGCGTCTTGTGCATTAATTCGCCATGGATTGTATGGATGCTCTCCGTTCAAACAACTATTTCAAAGCCGAAAAAGCTTCAAAAACATTTTTCTTTTGCGCGTTCCGTTTAATTAACGAGTTTTCAAGGAAAGGAACAATTTGATATTCCTATAAGCGTGACGGAGTAGGAATCTTTTTGCTAGGAATTCAAACTTCTTAGGTCACAATCCGGATTAACTGACACCTTCCACTAAGACAAAAAATTATTGCGTTGACATTGACACAATTTCTTTCCTTAATACTACGACTTCATCGTTTAGCTGGAAAGCTCTGCATTTTTCTGGAAAACATTTCTCTACTCTACTTTTATCCCAAAAGACAAGGAGGAAAATTCAAACACATGCTTTCAAACTTACCAAAAGTTTCCTCCTCTAACGAATAAACAAACTTAGTAACAGAAACTGTGAATTAACAAGACGCGATAATTGGTTATTTCCTTTGAAAATAAAAGAGAAAAGGCAATGAAAATCATGACAGAACTTGTGAAAACGTCCTTACTTTAACAGTGTTGTTACCTCTCCGGAGTCTGATGACCGACTAAGAGTAGTTATTTCCTGCCGAACTACTGTTGCAATAGAATAAGAACAAAATGCGAAAATTAAGTGATTAATTTGAATAAAATTTGAAAGATAATTAGTCTATCACAGGAAAGCGTTGTTCTCTGAGACGTTGATCAGGAAGAAATGATTTTTTTCGGTGTAAACTTCTCCAAACTTAAGGTGGAGCCTTCAAACTTCTTTGCTAAATAAAGGAGTGAGGTGATGAATACGACTTCCGAAGTTCCTGGTTCATCGCACTCACCATCTTATGTTTTGCTGGTGTTTTCTTAGCCTTAGCTTTTCCCATCATTGCAGGAAACTCTATCGCGCTAGCAGCGTACGGACGCAATGCCTTCCTTCACGCACTAATATACTAATATCTTTAACGTGAGCCTGGTTGTTTCAGATTTACTGGTCGGAGCTGTATCACCTTTGTTTATTTCCAGAATATCCCGATTCGTTTGCTGGAGATTTATTTGTGTTTTGATGTAATCACTGCATTGGCCTCTATCTTTCCTTTTACGACACGGGGGGGGTTTGGGTTTACCCTATCCTTCATAAACGTCTGTAGTTTTTTAATGATCACTCATTCATTGGCAGCCAATTCCTATTCCTATTGTCCCCGCTTTCTACTCTTTAAGGCGACTTCTAATCCCCCTTCTGTTGTCCCTGAAAAGCGTGTGTTCCCCCCCTCAAATCTTCCCATCCTCCCTCAGAATCAGTCTCATCAATTTTTCGAGTACCTGTTAAATATTTTTCTTTGTTCTCTCTGCGATAAGAGAGGACAAAGAAAAATATTTAACAACATGCTCCTGTCAGTCTCATTTCGTTGTATTATTTCCCTCCTAAACAATGGATGGGAAAGCAATTAGGCCCGCATGCGACTTGAGTATACTTACTAAGACTGGCATTAGGTTAGATATCATATAAGGGTTAGTATAATCACGACGCTGCCGTTTGCTGTGCTGCATATACGTGTTCCTCACTACGTCTGAAATTGTGTATGGACTTAACGTTGTCTGTAAAGCTTGTGAGTAGGTTTATAAGGTGTTGAAACAATGAGAGATTAAAAAGAAGGGTTGTCTATCTGGATCGCGCACATAAGAGTGACAGGCAAATATAGGAGTACAATGACTTCACTGTTATAGCTGATGAAATCATTCTTTGACAAGTAAAGACAAAAGTTCCATTAACTTTGAAAATGCTATTGATTCCTATCACCATCTGAAGAAAAAACCGATTAACCATTTATTCGTTTCAAAATATATTAAATTTTTTGTCAATCAACATCCACAACACAACTGAACCTTATCGAGTTGCTATTCATATCACATCATTCCAATGAATATTGCTTGACGAAAACATGACATCCGCGCAATTACACAACACAACTTATTTGTGCTTGGAGTTTAGATTGCCACAGGAAGATCTCGATTTTGCGAGCGCTTGTTGCGATAGCGGATGACAAGGTAGACAGTAGCGCACATGAAAAATACAGCCACAACACCACATACTGCCCCAACAATTGCCACTATCTGGTAAGTGTGGCTGGTCTCCTCTTGGTCTTCAGATGCAACTGAAATGAAGTCAATTGATTTCAAGTTAATATGATAGTTAACGATAGTTAAACTATCGAGGGTTGAAATAAAGCAAATAGATTTCAGGTTAATCATTGAGTTAAACTATCGAGGGAATAAGTAGATTATAATGTTAAAGCGTTCAGTGTCTATCAGTAAAGGCAGAAAAACTGAATACATGGAAAGGAACATTTTCATAGTCCGACTTTCTGGAGATTTTTATCCAGCCTTTGTTTATTTTCTGTAGTCTTCATTACAGTATATTATATTGCATATTGTTCCGTTGATATCATATTTGACATGTTCAAGTTATCTTCCACGTTCTACAAGTTGCCCCGTGCGGCCTCTATTTCTAACTTGGACAGTTATCACGGAAAACCAGTCTTGGTTATCAGAGAATGTGGAAAGCACCCAACAAAGTTCCTGTCTCATGGCTAAAAGCCCTGTGAATAACATTTACCTTTCTCTTTGTTCATTTCTTCTTGTTTAAAGGTGAATGGACCGTGGACAACATGATAAAGCTGTGATTCATCCACCGAATCAGAGATTGAACGACGTCTACGCGCCGGTGGAGCTGGTGCAATATCAGCGGATGGAACACCTGTGCAAGTGACAGGATTATCTGGACATTCACACGCAGTATTGGCTACATCTGCCAAGCAAACTCTGAAATCGCAGTGGATGTAAGCAGTGTCTCCTGGATTTCCTCCAAAATACCGATAAGTTTTGAGTGAGAATGTTTCAGATATGCTGTCGTCAGCACACGAGTATGATAACGTGTCCATGAGGTCTGCGCTGACAGAATTGCTGCCACAGCTATGAGGAGATGATGAAAAATGGTATAATTAAGTAATGTAAGCACAATTCCTCTCACTATTTGAGGTAACAAATTTTATCTTAAATGGAAAAGATCGATGTTAATCCATAGCATCGGCTGTATGTTATTTTCTGAGTTGATACCAGGCACACAGCATACAAGAATAGCTTCCTCCGAAAACTTCAATTGTAGGTTCTAATTAAGGCTTTGGAAGGCTTACTTTTTATTAGCAAGAAACTGAAAAAAATTGTGAATGAGTTTCAAGGTGAGCCTTATTTCTTTTAGAAATAAGCAGTGTTACTCACTCATGTTTTATCAGTAGTCTGACGATGTCTCACAGAAACTCCGACAGAACTCTTTTTAATTAAGACAGTGTCAGTCTATTTGAGGTCTACACTGGCGGCCATCTTTCACTTGGATTGAGAACCACAGGGAGTAATAATGATACCAGACAGTTCACGCACAGAAGTATTGATTATTGGAATAAACTGAGTTGTGATGCGATCACCTCGTAAATCACGGTTGAAACTCGAATTTTAAAGTAATTCATTTGGAAATTTGTATGCCTAAATGCCAAATCAAATCCACATAATTCTAAATGATTTTCATTTTTAACCTCGTTTTTTTTTTCCGAGGTACTGGACCTTACTGACGAGCTCTTCGATGAGGTGGGTCCTGCTCTATCTAAAAGTTATAACATTAATATTGATCGTTATTATCATTGTTGTCGTAATTATATATTTGTCATGTTTATCGGGCAAATTTTTATCACAGAAATTCTTACCCGTTGGTTATTATAGTAAATTTACCATCACTAGAGGATGGATCACTGTTTTTTGATGAATAGCATCGCACAGGGTACAAGTCAAGGCTGGGTGTGGCGCTTTGAGTCTTGACTTCAGCTTTAAAGTAAATCTCTACATCCAGAGCAACAGGGTCGGGAACTGGCGTAGTATGTGCGTCGTCTTGATACGCGTTGAGAGTAAATGTGAAAACTCCGTCCTCTAAAAATGACAAAAGAGACCACAAAAGCGAGTAACGAAAAGTAAAAAGAAAACAAAAAAAAATTTTAAAAGACTTTATCAAACACATTAATTTTGCATTATTTAAGAGTTTTGCTCGTTCTGAAAAATGCAAGGCTAAATTATCAAATTGAATTACGAGTAGTCGAGATATCTATTCAATGAGAATGGCTCTCAAATTAGAACTAAAGCCCTCCAATAGCAGTTACAAATTACTGATACGACGAAAAAAAAAGACGCACTTTAGAATTTAGATTGTTTCATGTTAGTTGCTTGAAACAAGTCTTTTTGGACCGGCGTGCTCTAATATTCCTGTAGCGTTAAGGATGAAAATTAAACCTTTCTCTATCACAAAACCAAATACGAATACACTTTGTACACATGCATGGCACTGAAGGAAGGCTGGCCAATATGTTTGATGGTAAAGGTGTGATAGACGCTTTCCAGGAATCTCCACTTTGCAGGAATTCAAACTAAGATTACTTAAGTAGATTATACATGCTGTTATCTTAACCAGAGCTGCCTACCTGTTTCATTAACCGCTAGGTTTTTAATCGGCACAAAACTCCCTGAAGCTCTGTCTGTATTATCGTAGTTACAAGTGACGTAGTACAGGTGGTCGTAAGCGCGTAACCGCGGTGTATTTGAATCACCTGCAGTCTTTGCAGCGCTTATTTTGAGGATGTATTGAATTCCTTCAGCTTTCTGGTTTGACTCGAAAGCGCAGTCAGGGAGGTGTAGTTTGTCATAGGTAACTGTTCTAGCATTATCATCTATTGTTGGTTGACATGTTTTCTTGTTTGTCTTTGTAGTCCACTCTGGTGCGGTCCAAAGTCCTGCATCATCCACTTTTGAGATCAATATATCCACAGTGTGGTCGGAGTTACAAGTCACTGAGGCCGTCGGCTGGCCTGAGTGGGAGTAGAAAAGCAATTTTTAACTCCAACTCTCATCACTTATGATGGGTAATAATACATTCCATTTAGTTATAGCTGTGAGAAAAGAGACACTTTATAATGATAAAATGTTAACGAATCTAAATTAAACCGGCGAGGAAATCGCAGATTTAAATTCTTTTATTTCGTAAATGCTTCGATATAGTCGTCAATTCATGAAGCCCACAGGGAATAACAAATGGTTATCATAATTTTTTAATCAAGATTAATAAAGACGAGATGAATGTGTTACCTTTTGTTTGATGTAAAACAAGCATAAATGTCGCCAAAAGAATTGCCCTCTTCATATCGATAATTAGGTTCTCGTGGATCTGTGGCAACAAAGAAATAGATAAATGGATGAAAGAATTGTAAAAAAGTTGTTTAAAATCACGAGCAAATAGAGAACAATTTATTAAAAAAGGATAAGCTGTGAAGGAGAACAAGGGAAAAAAAAGGAAGAGATACAAGAAAAAAGGCCGGACAAAGTAAGTGTAAGATGAAGATAAACATCAGCAATAGAAATTAAAAAAAAAAACATGAAAGAGGGTCGCAAGAACAGCGGAAAAAAAACATGAATTTTATCGTTCAAAGCTCAAAAAAGAAAAAAATTCCCTTATAATGATTAACAAGTATGTTAAGAATGAAACTATTTCTCCCAAGCTTAAGACGAGAACGAAACAGCCAATATCACGTTGTGACTTCTGCATTTGTTTTGTTGTTTGTTTGAAGTGTCGTACGAATAACACTTTGCCACAGGCAAATGCCATGAATTCTCTTGTATGTATGTCAAAAGAAGACAATAGACAGAGACTTCAACAGTAGAATTCACTTGGTTTAAACTCTGAGCTTTTCCCCTTTGAGGTGCATTTTTCGTTCAATGATACACTGAATTTTAGCTTGAATATGTTAGAGAAGATGATGAAAAGCCGCAGGAAGTTATTAAGCGTGGAAGGAACTTGACAGTGCTAATGCTGGGGATTGAAAAACAGTTTTCAACCCAAACTGGTGAAATGCAAAGATTTAAGTGACAAAATGTTACTCGAGAAGTTGGCAAGACACGATTTAAAAAAGCAGTTAAGAAAATCAAAAACCTGCTTCACGAGCAAAGGTGTAGCCTGAGAAATTGGACTGAAACATTCAGGCTTAAACGTGATTGAATACAAGAAGTGGCTTGCTAGCTGAAGTTTATTTCAGATCAATCCACTAAAAAACGATTAAGTTGCCATTCTTAACTAAACCTGGCATGGTGGACTGTGTCTGGCTCTGATTAAAGTGAAAATGCAGAATCGATCTTGAAATAACTGCGTTTCGTCAAACGTCAACTTGAGATAAACTTGAAAAGCCCCATAAATAGAATAATGAAGGATCTTACTTCTTTCGTTTTTATACGCAATTTGCGGAGCTCGTTTTTCTCTGAAATACGAGAAAGAAACGAACGAATCGTAACCAAGATTGATTGTTGTGAGTGAGCTTCGTAAGTTTTTGATTGACGAGGTAAGCATCACTTTAACATTGGCAAAATTTCTTTTGCTGAATTTAGGAATTAATCGACCCGTGGGAAAGCTTATTAAAAAAATTGATCACGAGCAAGTAAAGGACAATTTATTGCGGTAACAGAAGAGATGATCATGGAGCAGAGTTAGAAAAACAGGAAGAAGGAAGAGCGAAGTTATTCTACCAGATATGCTGAATTATACCGTCCCCGAGTTTGTAGAACTAACATTAAACAAGTCACAATTTTATTATCAAGGACCAAAATTATGAAACTCTGCCTCATTCGATAACAATATAAGATCTTTCATACGGTTACTTAAATCCTTTTTAATTAATTTGCAAAATACCTATTGAATTTTATAGAAAGTTGATTAATATCAAGTAATCAAGTTTTCTTAGTACTTTACACTTGTAAAATTACGTTCTTCTAAATTCTAATTTAAAGAGGGAACCTCACCCATAATCCTTTAAGACTTTTTGAGAATTTCTCGCCTTTTCCTTTCTCTATTTTCTATTTCCCATGTATTATCAATGTAAATTAGCTTTGTTCCCCTCTTAATGATAAAAAAGAGAGAAGAAAAGCAATAAAGAAGAAACACACCAACAACAAAACAGAGACATCAACGAAAAAAAGTTGAGACGACGAAGTAGAAAGGTGAAGAACGACGTCAGCACCAACAACAAAGCCAATTGAAATAATTTCATTATGATATTTTAACGCCCTCAAAAAAGACAAAAAAGGGGGCATAAAACTAAATTTTCTCCGGAAAGATAGAATAAATCAATTATTCCCTCTTTTGTTTTCGGGGTGAATGATACTTTTCTTTCGTGATTTCGTGAACTGCCCTATTGTTTGTTCGTTTTGCTCTGATAAATCCATAAATGTCAATAAGAAAACATAGCCTCAAGGCAAAACAACACCTACTTTGATATGTATGTCGCACAAATAACTTGAGCGCTGAACCCAACAGTAAAATTGAGATAGTAACATTTCTATTCAATGTACCTTTTCTTGAGTATTATTTTTACAGCTTATTAGCAACAGTATTGAATACTAATCAATAAAATACAAGCACACAAGCCAAAAAGCACGAAAGGGCGAAAATAATTCTATATGAAAAAAAATTCGCCGAAAAATTTTGCAAAGCAAGTTTGATTTAAGTAACAGCAAAGTAAGTCCACTTTGAGCTGAGGTGGGGACAGTAGCTTAGCTTGCGTACTGTATTGGTATATCTGTATTCGAATGCGTCTTGCGCATAAATTTGCCATGATTTGTATCGATACTCTCTGTTCAAAGAACTATTTCAAAGCCGAAAAAGCTACAAAACTTTTTTTTTGTCGCGTTCCGTACAATTTACGATTTTTCAAGGAGAGGAATAATTTAATATTCTTTGCTAGAAATGCCAACTTCTCAGGTCACAATCCGAATTAGCGGGCACACTATACCAAGACAAAGAAATTATTACCTTGACATTGACACAATTTCTTCACTTAATACTACGACTCCATTGTTTAATTGGAGAGCTCTGCACTTTTGTGGAAAACATTTCTCTACTCTACTTTTATCACAAAAGATAACGAGAAAAATTTAAACACATGCTTTCAATCTTACCCAAAGATTCCTCCTCTATCGAATAAACGAACTCGGTGGCAGAAACTGTGAATTAATAAGACGCAATAACTGGTTATTTCCTTTGAAAATAAGAGAGAAAAGGCAATGAAAATCATAGACAACTTATGAAAACTTCTTGCTTAGACAGAGTTGTTACCTCTCCGGAGTCTGATGGCCAACTGAAAGACGTTGTTTCTTGAACAACTATTGTTACAATAAACAAAAAGCAGAAGTTGGAATGAATGTCAGTAAGAATGGGACTATTGAAACTTAAGAGCACAACTGAAGCGTTAATTAAACTCATTGTGCGTTATGGTGATCTCTTACACTTTTTGCTGTTCCTTATGAGAAAATACGCATTCGTTTGCGTGAAAAGGCAAAAAATTGCGTGAAGTTGCATTTATTAGCGACTAAAAACGATCATTAGCGCGTAAATTAGATATAATAAAGATTTTTGCTTTTAATCAAAATTCAAGAGCATTTTTAGGCATTCTTACGCGTCATTCGTCACACAAAAGAGAAAAATATACTTTCCTTTGCACTAACCTTCAAGTCATTAACACCATCTTAAATGCAAATAGAGACAACACACAAACATTATAGTGCAGAAATCCCTCATTTATATTTTTAACATTCTGTTTGCAATTCAGCAGCATTCCTGGATGGCATTATTGTGAATAAGACAATCATTACAGCACTTGTTCAAACAACAGAGTGTTTTTGGCATTCAATATGCAAGTATCGAATTTCAACTGAGCACCTTTTTTGCCTGAAATTTACATTTTCAGTGAATGTCTTTCAGTTCATTCGTTTCGTGAACATCTTCAAGCCGCCAGAAAAATGCCACGAAGAAACCGAATACCACTCGAACATAGAGAGAGAATCGTAAGAGGATTCGAGGACCTGGAGGAAGACTATCTTGTGGTCGCAGACACGCTCGGAATAAACCGATCAACGGCAAGAGGCATCGTGGCGCGCTACATTAGAGAGGGCAAGATCCAAGAAAGACCACGAGGTGGTAGAAACAACGTGCGCGTAGATGATAAGATGAGAGATTGCCAGGAGGAAATCATCAACGGGAGATATACATCAAGCTTAAAGTGCACAATGGTACCCCTTTATGCAGACCTATCTGCCAAGATGTTTGAATAAAGAGATTATTTCAACTAAAATTAAGAATAAAATAAAATTGGAATGAGTATTCTTCAATTAGAATTCGATATTTGAATATTGAAAGTAAAAAAACGCTCATTAGCTTGTGCAAGCCATTAATGATTGTCCTAATCATACTAACGTCGTGTAGGAAGGATATTGAATTGCAAACGGTGGGATAAAGATGTTAATGAATAGTTTATGCATTTTAATATTTATGTCTCGCAATTGTCTCTATTGCCTTTCCTGATGGTGTTAATGACTTAAAGGTTAGCGCAAATAAAAGTATATTTTTCTCTTTCGTATGACGAATGACGCATAAGAATACTATTGAATGCTGATTAAAGTGCAAAATCGTTATTGAATCTAATTTGCGCGCAAATGATCGTTTTTTGTCGCTAATGAATACAACTTCACCCAATTGTTCGCCTTTTCGTGCAAATGAATGCGTATTTTCTCATAATGAACAGTAAAAGGTGTATAGAAGGGTGAAAAAGGGTTTGTCAGTGATGCGTGATTAAGGCCAAAACTGATATGTGACGCATAACTTTACAGAAAAGCGAGCGTGGTTCTTGAATTTATGAACCAGCGTGAGGCATGATTTGCCACCTGAAATAGACGTGACCCTTTGATTTTTTTATGCTTTAGTTTGTGAAAACTTCAAACTTTTTATGAAGCCTTGTGCACATGAAGAGAGATTTGAAGTTTTCCCTTTTATATAAGTAAAGCGTAAATTTTTCTGAAAGTTGTGAGTGAAACGGGGTGAGACCCCCCCCCCTTCGCTACCCACTTAATTATAGATCATCTTCTTTAAACTGACCTCGCCAAGCATCTGGAGTGAACTACAAGGTGGCAGCCATGTTTTCACGAAGTACGAGGCTATGCACATCATTCACTCACATGATCATGAGTCAGTTATCAAATGCACTTCTGGTGACCCTTTGAAAAACGTGAACAATTCAAAGATATCTGTGTCACGACCTGAAAGGATTTCTCTCAGGACAATCACATCAATATCAAATCGATTCAGGTGGAATCAAGCATTCTATCAGTTAGTTTATCCATAACGTATCAAGGAAGTTTTTACAAAAGATGAGACCTCGTAACTCCCTTTTGCAAGAAGAATTTTCATTTCAAATCTTGTTTATAATATTATATGGATGTAGCAATTTTGCATCCTAAATAAAGGATCGAAATAGATGATAGCTTTCGCGGCTGACGGTTAATCTTTTGGTTATTTTACGGCTGACAATATTATAATAATAATAATATGTCTTTATTCGTTCATAGGATAAAAATACATTTCCCATTTTGCAATTTGAAAATCTAAAGCGTACAAAGTAAACATTTGTAGAAAAATCCACTATTCTAGTGCTAAACTATATTTAGAGACTAACCATTTACATAGGTACCCATAGAGCGAACCGTACTGATCTTGGTTTTTTCAGAGGATTTCCTTCTAAGGTTGTGATGGTAGATTTGATTCAATAAGCCCTTTGCAGCTAGAAGTCACGTGCTTGGATACCGGGTAGCAACGCAAAATGAGCCAAAATTACACGTTCTAGGAAACATTTTTAGGGCTAACTTTTGTCGCGATTAACAGTTAAAATTTGCCAATGTTTACGCCTAACGGCTAATCATCGGTTTACCTTATTAAGACTCTCCGGACACCTACACAAATAAGGATTGAAATTACTATTTTTCTTGAAAGGGGAGTTACAAGGTATATCCTTTGTAAAAACTCCCCTTGAAAATAGAAAAACCAAGTAGGCAAATATCAAAAGATAACTAAATCCTGAATTCAAACCGTTTGAATTGGCTTACAGAGTGCTCGATTACACCCTATACTTTGTCCGCTTTATCCACAGTCATATTATTACTGTCCTACGAGAGAACCTTTCATATAATGACACCGATATGTTTGAACTCTTCAAGTTACTCAAAAGGTTGCCTAAAGTGTATTAATTATATAAACTACAAGGTTTTAAAAGGATTTTCAGCCCTGGCGAATGCGTTAATTTCATTCGAGCAAAATGACCATAATTTTTTACGTGTGTTTGATATTACCAATCAGCTGCTGATATGTCAATTACCTCTCAAGTCACTGTCATAATTCTATAAGTCTACTTTTATTGTTATTAAAAGCTTATGGTGAGTTGCGTTCACTCGTTAGATATCGAGTCGATCGCTTCGAAGATAAATTTCATATCTACGCGCGCCTATGTTCTATTCTTTTTTTGGTAATAGACTTATCACGTGCTTAAAAGAAACTATGATGCTTTTTCGGTGGGGATTATAACAAGAAAATTTTTTTTATCGAAGGGCTAACGCTCGAAACCTAAGCTTCAGAAAATACTAACGGTGTTCAATTAACATTATCAACTTAGTTGATTAAACCAAATTATCTTTGTTAATATAGATGTAGCAATTCTACATCCTAAATATTATATGTATTTATGTACATATAAGACCTAAATAGTCTCTAAATCCTTCTCCAAAGAAATCTGAAATCTGTGCCGCGGAACACCCGACTCACCAATCAGTTTACTAACTCCTAAAAATAGATATCAGACAGATATTGAGCAATTTTATTTTAGCTAAAGCGTATGATAACTGATATCCTTTTTCATAAATATTTTTGATTTGCATAAATAAATGGTGTACCATGCTTGTTCAAGAAATAGTCTGCAAAAATGTACTTGGTGTCCATTTTTATAAGCCCCACAACAAAACCCCCAATTCGTTTTCTGCCGGTTTTCTTGTTCACTTCTCTTCACAGTGTTTTTCTCATTTGAGAATGCATAGATTCGTGGACAAAAAAAACAATGGATACCAGTAGCTTTCTACCGAGTAGTTCGTGGATAAGCATGCTTTGTCACTCAGATATATTTTAATTGTATTCATGGGTGGATTTTTGAAAGATATTCCAGCCTAGAGCAGACCCACTTTACGATGACGTTCAAACGTCTACGCGTTTGCAAAAGAGCTTACAACCTGTCAGGCTGTTGTGTTCGAAAGTCTCGAGATTTCCTTTTCCTAACTTTTGTTGTCTTTTACAGGTTCCTATGAATGTTTCAATTTCTGTTTCTAAATCTTAACTCGAGGTTTAAGTTAGACTTTGTGTTACCAGCATGCTCGAGATCCATGAGCAACACCAATTGTCCATTGAGGCACGAAATTTTTTTTGAATGAAGAAAAGGTCACAATTGAACAGTTTTGATGTTAAAAATAATTTTCATTTCACACACTTCTTATCTACTTCTTTCCAGCCATTTACACCTTTTACCCCTACGATTTGAAGATACATTCTATGCATTTGAGGGAGCGTTTTCCATTGAGAGTGAAAATTAATCGAAAATTTCCTTGATTTCGTTTCACTTTGATCTGTGATTGGCCAAGAAAACTTGCGCCATTCTCTCAATCAATCAAATTCAAAACTAGGACCAATCGCGTCTTGATCATTCGCGTTTTACCGCACTTCGGGAAGTTTGCTTGTTTCTCTATGAGCTCTCATCGGCTCCTTGTGATTTTCTTATCTGATCTGATTGGCCGCATTTCGACTACCTTTGTCTTGGTTTTACGACACTCAATCGAAAGCGCTCTATCGTGAAGGCTATCATGACACATCGTCCTATGACTCCAAGGACCTGAGCCATAATATTTCCTCTCTGGGTTTCATATATTTCCTCGAGAGTTGGTTTGGAGAATTTGATGAAATATGAAGATGACAACCTTAAGCTGATTCTTCTCACATGTTTATGATATGATGCAGTGTAATTCTGAAAGGAAGTATCATGTCAGTCACCCATTACAGCTTAGACGGAAGTATTTGGCGTCAAAGGTGATAGTGAGCGCTCTACTTTGTTCTGGATAGGAACCAAACAAGGACGATTCCGAAACGAGCTATCACTGGGGTTCGAACTATCGACCCTTCTGTTTTCAAGCGATAATCTCCTTCCAGGGGTAATTCTTCGCTTGGAAGAGTTCGTGTCGTTGCTACGATTATTTCTCGTTCTTCTTCGTGATGGAGATGGATCATTGTTCCTTCTGCTATGGGCTCTGACAGAGGCATGAGCCCGAATAGTTCTGTGTCCGACGCCACGACAGCTAAAACAAGTCAGCAACAATCTCTTAAAGGTTTTCCTCATCTCACCATTGCGGTAAGCATACACCATAGGATTTACCATACTGTTGGAGTAATGCATCCACTTCACGAACCGAATTAGCCTCAGAATTTCAGGAAAAGGTGGCAGTAAATGATGCCAGAACTCTGCAAACAGGTTCACAATGCAAAATGGCAACCACGCGATTATAAAAAGTCCGGTGATAACCGCAATGGTGGCAGCAATTTTGGCTTCACTTTGTGCGCTGTTTCCTCCGTGTCCTGCGGGATGAACCCTTGCTCGGGTGGTCCCCTTAGCCGCCTGGAAAATGATGGCATACACAGTCACTATGACAAGAGCTGGGACGGCGAAGCACCCTATGAAGAGGATAATACTATAAGGTTTTTGCCACTTGTTCATCTGAACGGGAAACAGTCCTGCCATAATGAAAGCGAAGCTCCAGGCGGTCATAATCATTCCATAGTAAATCCACATGGAGTACGCTCGATGGTTTATCGGGCGAGTTATCGCCAAATAGCGTTCAATACTGATGGCTGTAAGCTGCAGCACTGAGGCACAGCCAGTGAAAATGTCCACTGTTGAATAAAATGTCAGAAGGTCTTGATCTATCACGCATGTTATTAATTGTTGGCAAGACGAAATGTAGATCCACAACGGAATCGATATTAGCCCGACCAAGAGGTCTGACACGGCCAAGCCAACTAGGAAGGTATTGTTAATAGTGCGAAGCCTTCTATTAAACCTAAACGCTGCGACGACAAGGACGTTTCCAAGTATTACAAATAACGACAGAAAGCAGTAGAGGATCGTTGATGCAATATTTTCCAATTCATCGTTTGGCAAAGTCGGAAGAGCTTGCGGGGGAAGACTTTGAGTAGCGGAGGATGAGTTTTCGTTCATATCAGCCACTTGTACCGTCGCTTCGTCAGTCTCGATTTCTTCTGGCTTTAGTTGTCATCACCTGAAAGATATGAAAGCGAATAACAGAGTGCCCTGTGTCATCTGAAAATATTGATTTTAAACCGACGTTTGGCAAGAGAAAACACTAATTCTCTAGAGGATTCGTCATAATAAATTAGTTAACACCTAAATCTGTTGTTAACGACATTTTTGATGAAATAGCAGTGGTTGTAATACTCAATTAAAGAATTCTTAATCGGTTTATCTTGGCTGAAAAGACGAGATTAGCCTCGATGTAAGCGTCACATTCATCGCTAAACTTTGCAACGTGAATACATTCTAAGCATCTTATGAATCCGTCGAGTTCAAGAGGTATAAATATTTTCTCTCCCACACAATGTCTACGATTAACAAAGCGTGCAGGGTTAATCCTAAAACACAATGAGAAAAACTTTGGAAGACAATGTTGCTAGGAAACGGAAACCTAGCCAAAAGAAAAAAAAAAAAAAAAAGATGATACGTTTTTTTTTCTTCCTATGTGACAAATTGCATTTAAAAACTCCGCTGTGATTTCGCAATTTTCAGTTAAAATCGTCGATTAAGCCAAAAAGAATTAAGTATTTGAGTCACGTTTCGTGTTTGTCGAAGCCTTTCTTTCTCAAAAAGCCTTTTCATTCACGAAAAATCAGGATCTTAACTGATTCTTTTAATTCGAAGAGCTCTCCTGGCTTCCGAATGAATCATTTTGCTCAGTTTAAAAACCAGTGGAAAAGGAATGTTAAATTTGCCTGATGTCGCATCGCGAGATACGGAGAAACATGCACGAAAACGAGAGTCAATTCACAGCATCTTGAGTGAACTACATAGCCTTTTTCTTAAGTCATTTTACAAAAAACTGCGGTCCTTTTTAGCAATGAAACGCTGTTCGAGACACACCACAGTCAGATCTTCCGATTTTCTGCAAATTTCCGTTCCTCGTGTAAAGACTCCCTAAAAGTGTGGTTGAGGATGTTGACTTTCCAGTCAATTTTTTCTGTTTTGTTTACAGAAGCACCTCAGTTAATGCTTTTCTTTCATTTTAAAGTCATTAACGCTTATTGGTTAGCTAAAACAGAATGATGGTTCGGAAGAGACATTGTTATATCAGCATAATTTTGAGTTTAGGTGTCAAATGGCTTTTGTGTCGTAAGCACCTCTCAAATGAAGTGATAACGTGAGGAAATAACGCATCAGTCATTCCGCTTCATTGTGGGGTATTAATTAAATCTCTTCCTGCTAAGTGTGTCAAAACAAATGCAATTTTATAATTTGTCTTGGGGGGATATTTCAAAAACCTTCACGGGCAAAAGTATGACAAAGTTCATAGTCACATACCCTCCGTTTTATTAATCTTTTTTCATGCCCTGGAATCGCACCCACAAACTTAGATTATAAGTGAGTATTATGTCGCAAAGAGACGTTTAAAAAACAAATCCGAATAGAAAGGGACTTTTTTAATGTGCCAAAGGCTGACTACTCCTTTAGATTGACGATTGAACATGCTGGAAACGTGAAAAAAATATATATTTGAAAACGTGAGACGAACTAAAGATTCAAAGGAAACATGAAAATATTAAGGCCGGAGGTTTAATTTTTTGACACTTCGTTTTTAACGCAATGCTGTGCGGAAGGGAACAAAAGACTTGGAAAACAATTATTGGCGACATACAACTAAACTTGATCGCAATTGGGGCCAAGTGTTAAAATTATATGGGCAACAATGAAGTCATTTTATACCTAAAAAAGTGAATGAAAAGCTGTACAGCTCGGGTGATGCGATCGTTTCAATTATTTCGAGTAAGCGGAGCCTAGAGTAAATCATTTAAGTTCCAAACGGAAAATATAGCATATATATATATATATAAAAGGCATTTTTTTAAATGAATTATCTATTTTATGGTTTCTTTATATCTGTTTGATACCTGTGGTTTTTGGTCCGTGACGTGACACTTTGGCGTTAAGTTTGTGCGCTACTTACTAAAAACTGCAAATGTTACTTACATCATGGCTTTTCAGTAGATTATTCCTTTTTTTCGGCTCTTGATTCACACTATTATCCGCAATCGATATGCGTCAAACCAACTGCGCGTAAGACTTTCTGCAGCTGCTGCTGCTTGTCAATCATTGGACGGTCAATTTTTCACAAGAAAAAAAATCATTTCCAATCACGCAGGAATCTGCAAAGATTTGATTTGATTGATTCTAACTTGATCCCAATGGCTGGCAACAAATCCGCCTATCAAGAGGTTTGTCCTGTCAAATTGTGAAAACAATTTTTTTTAGCAATTTAGGCCAATTTAGTCCACTTATCGAGCTTCAGGCGACATTTTGCCATTAGAAGCAAAGTAATATCTTCAATAAAACGTCGGATGTAAAGGCCTTATCTGATGTCAGGATTCATAAACACGTTTTCCAAGAAAAAAAGAACCATGGCTTTCTGCACAAGTCATTACTTCTAATTTGCGTAGAATATTACAGAAAAATCGCGTCTATTTTCACGTCTCGTTGAGAAATCTCTGTTTATTAATAATTAACACTTAAGTTAACAACTTATTTAGGTAACGCATACATAATTTCTGAGAAAAATAACGCTGTTGGTTGAATATTCATCACGAAATGGTCTGAATCACAAAAGTGTCCAGTAGGGTCATATGAAAATCTTCTGGTCTAAGAGGATCAGAAATTTGGTATATTTGCTATGAGTATAATTTAGATTAGGTGCTTAAAGTTTAATTTGAGCAGCACGGAAGAAGCTCGCCACTTACACTTTTTTTGTTAGCTATCTATGCCCCATGGTCCCAACTTGGGTAGCACAGAGTCGACGTTTTTGTTGCTGTCATTGTTTCCGTTTTTTCAGCCCACATCTTTTGCGAGAAGGAGGGAGATAACTCTAGAACCAGCCTGAGTAAAAACCACCTCCTCCCCTCCATCCCACCCTCCCTCCCCGCCGAAAACCTCAGTGCAGTAATTAAAATAAACTATAACCTCATGATGACGTGACAGAGCACATTTCGGGTCAAGAAAGTGTGGCTTAAGCGTGCGCGCGCTACCACACCAACAACAATAACAATTTAATTTAAGGTTCTCCAAAACGGTATGCTTTTACTCCTCTTTATGCAGTTGGTTCATTACAAACTCACGACGATGTAACCGATGATTTCCAAGAGGCGAATATTGCTCTCACGGTTCTCAATGTGTGTTAATAGTAATTAAAACAACAGAACACTTAACTTGTCCCTTTTATTAGTTAATGCAAATTAAAGCAGAACCTTGAGCTTAAAGATCCATTACTGACTTATCACAGAAGGTGATCGTCGTATTTTAAGAAAGATACGATACAGATATACAGTAGCATCAATACGGAAACATATAGATAAAGACTCGTTGAAGTGAACTATACTGTTGCTGCAGGGCATTGACTTTAAAGAAACTTGGAAGGACTCCGCAGGCCCTCTCAACAGGTGCGTGCTCAAATCCAGCGAGGAGACACACGAAAAATAACCACATGGGGTACGCGACGACAGTTGTTGTCTCTCGTTAATAGAATCTCGTGAAAAGGAAGGTGCTGTTGTAATGTCCAATACGTCTCTCTTTGTTCTGGCAAGATGAAGGAGAAGATAGCATGCGGATGGCATGATCAGGGATCGTTATTCGATCCTATTGAACTACTCGAGGTTATTTTTCCTCCAGGTACCTTTAATATCATTCACCTGATGTCTGCTAATCTCATCATCATCGCCATAGTTGTTGATGAAGCAGTCTTCCCAGCAATTTGAGGGATGAGATATTTGTTGTTGTTCAACGTATAATAACTGGACTGGCGAAGAGCAAGAGTTATGGGAACCCTGACCCAACTCTTTTCAAGTGTCCTTTGAACAGTTCCTGCATACATCAATCTCCCAAGCAGCACAAAATCAGTAATGACAAGCATCGTCTACTCACTTATGAAATTCGACAAACAAAATTTTTGGCTCCTCAGGGACAATGTAAGAAAATAACTCGATTTTAAAAAAATGTTATTAACTTCCCTGGATCAAATTTAAGGTTCCTGCCTACTCGATATCAATATTGCTTTGGGTGGGATTGAAAGGCTCTTAAAATTTGCGTCAAACTGGCAGAACGTGAATGGAAGATCCAGTTTTCATCATTATGTGAGTTGTTTACAGCTGAATGTTTCGTAAGCAAGTATTCTCAAGCAAGTCAAGCAAACAGCACTGCAAGTTGGAGAATTGCCTGGTTGCTACAAGGAAAAACTCACTTTTCAATAAACTAAAACTCAAAAGAAGCAGCAAGAAATTGTCAACTGACTAAAAAACATACAGTTTTGATCAACTTAACTGTTACACTTACGGCCTTGGCATAAACACCTAGTCACATTTATACATTTAGATCACTTTGATTGGAGGTTCCAGAGAATATTCGTGTTCCTTAGTGGGACGTTTTAGTTATCTCTCTCTTTACATTGATAAGTAAAGGTGATTCGTCAGTTACAAAGCATGGTATTTGTTTCCGTGGCCGACCGAACGCTTTGCTTTGTATCATTATCTGAGGAGTCATTGATACTGTAGTTTGGGTTTTCTAATAACCTTAAGAGATGCAAGATAAGATAACGCCTGACCTACTAAGATTAACACCACTGTTATTACTTGTGGTTTGAAACCTTTATGCTTGAGCTATTAGGGAAGTGAGAATCAGAAGCAGGCCTCTCAAGGCTTCATCGTTGAAATATTCTAACCGGGCGTAACTGGGTAATTACACGAAGATATAGACCTCACGTTAATTGGAATTTGAAAGCCCTTTATAAAAGATTGGAGTTGATGTACATTTAAGTTTAAGCTACTTTACAACTTAAAATTCTAATTAGATGGTTGAAAGATGTCCTCGGGAGCAACTAAGTTTCCAAAGTTAATGTACCCTGTCAATCAATCAACCTTCAGATTTCTTCTAAACAATTCTTAATTCTAGAGTGTTGATTCATCATTACATTTACAAACCATAGCCGAGCCGAAGTTAACTTCAATGCTGTGTATATACTAGAAAACATATCTGAGATCATATCTGTTTAGAAGGAGGAAGGGCTTCAAGTTATAAAGACCAATTGGTAAGAGAATAAAGAATCTATAAATCAAAAACTCAGTTTAACTTGGGTGGAAGTCAGGAAATGAAAATATACTGCTTTAGAGAATTTCATCTAAAAACTATAACAGTTTAATCAAAATTACCAGAGAAAGCGGGGATGCCATGAAAGTGCTCAGGTTGGACTTTGGTGGTGCACAATGATGTGTCAGTTGTGATAAGACTTGCTAACCGAATTTGGTTTTGCAACAACACTACACCATGTTTTAAATCTTCATTCTGCGAAGTTTCTGCTTATTGCCAACTAATATGCGGTAGGAAATGGATCATTTCATTAGTCATTTCTTTTCTTCCTATTGTCAGTTGCGGTAAGTTTTAGTAGTATGACCGCTTTAGACAATCAATTCGGTTATGCATGCAGTAATCAATGCTGCAAGGGTATATCCTCTTGCGTGCGGGCCTACTTTGTGGTGCGACGTCGAGCAGATCAAATGATGATGATAATAATAATAATAGTAATAATAATAATAATAATGATGATGATGATGATGATGATGATGATGATAATGATAATGATAAAAGAACAATTTCAAATCAATGGATTGAATTGAAAACAAAATGCAAGAGGCGATCAAATAAAGAAGGAAGAAAAAAGGGAGAAAGAAATATTTTATTACAGCAGAGGTTAAGCTGAGATATTATAAAAAATGCAATATATTATTGGATATGCGAAGTACAGGAATGATTAATGTGGGAAGTCCGTACACAAAACATCCGTACGGAATGTGACCGCAATATATTATGACTAAACTAATCACGCGTATGCGTATCACCAAACAGATGTAGAGGCAACAAATCTCGATAGCGCTGACTGACCAAAGCGAACAGACGAGTATTTATAACATAATTTGTTTCTGTAATGCTTAGGATAACAACTACATAAGCGAAAGCTAACTGGTTCACAGTCGCCGCCTGTCCTCCCGATTTTCTTTTGGAGAGTGGGGGCCGGGGGGCGGCTGTACAGCAAAAGCAAAATTACAAAATAATTTTTTTTTCTCGCACATTGTAATGTTCATGATACAAAATAAAATTAATGAAGAGAACACCTGACGCATGATACCTGATAATATTGAACCAGGTAAGGGAGGTGGGGGGAGGGGAGAGGGGTAAGGAGTAGCATGTCCACATCTCACTCTCATTGGCCCGCCGGCCCCTTCTGTGCGAGGGAGAGTTTCACATTTTAAGACTATTTATAACTTTCCGTTAATGTTTCACTTTTTTATATTCATTGCTAGAACAAACTAATATTGAGAATTATTTAGTACAGTCGCACTAAACTGCAAGTGGATTTACCGAAAGAATTTGAGATAAATTGTAATGTTTTGCATCTATTTCACGTGATCAGGTTGCGTGACTTAAGTGGTGATAAAGATCATATTCGTGCGTATGCGAATAAAGGTAAAGACTTCCAATGTGGCGTCGCAGTATCGCCTTCAAATTTTATTTCATTTTTTTTCTTTTTGCTCTCACAAGCATGTCTTCAAGGGATTTTCCTTTTTTGTAAGAGATGATCAGAGGTTTGTAGAAATTGTTTTCAGCAAGGGCTGACTGTGTAGCAGACTTCGATGTTCCATAAATATTTGTTTTCGAATTTTAACTGCCGGATGGTACATTATTACTAAACGCAATAAACGCTCCTGACCTTTTGGCTTTAGTATATGTGTCAGAGCCGATTGTCTAGTGGCAAAGTTGACCCCTGGCGGAGACCATTATGTTTTCCGTGTACCCTCTTGTTTTGAGGCGTTGTTTCTACCAAACCTCTGGTCATCTCTCACAAAAAAAGCGAAAATACCTGAAAGACCTGCTTGTGAGAGCAAAAATATAATTTGAAGGCGATATGGCGACGCGATCACAAAAGCTACATGGGGAGTCCGTGTCGGTCTGCCTTTACTTTTATTCTCAGGCAGCACTTTTTTAACCATTTAATCTTCACTCGCAGCTACTCGATATGCGAATTTCAAAGCTAACAGGATCCACCTCGTTGCATCGAATTTGTATTTTTGCACTTGGCATTCCTTAGCCATCGGTTACTAAATTGAATTAAGGCAGACGAGATATCAAGAGTACCGCAGACACTTCAGGTCTTACATAATCAAGAGCTTGACAACGAGATAAACGATCGATAACTCAAAAAACGAAAGATACTCGAAGGAATCCCTTAAAAAAACAGCAAATTCCAAAAATACCTGGAAGATGTTTTTGATTCCATAGATCGTAAACAATGTTTTTCTCAGTTTGCCTTTTCACCTTGATTTCCTCTCATCAATGGTCGAACCGCGACAAGAGTATCCACCGCCACCGCGCCCTCCACGATGTATTACGTATCCTTTAGGCACGATTTGTCGTTTATGTATACTGAAATTGACCTTTGTACATAGTTCCTAATCCAATCTCGACCAGCTTATGACAAAAGAATCTTTCGAATCTGTGGTCGAACCGATAACATTACATGCATCCGAATCCTCTGAAATGCAAAATCGATGACAGCTTTTTGCACATAAATCAAGATCTCATTTCGAACCCCACTTACAACCATTATCTGGGCATAACGTGACATAAGCGTGGCTGTCACGCTTTCCTTAACTTTTTTCACATCAGAGTAAAGGACTGAGGACGAGGATCAGTCTAAGCCGATGCACAAATGCGGTTTCCCCTAATAATAATAATAATAATAATAATAATAATAATAATGATAATAATAATAATATTATTGTTATTATTATTATTAATATAAATTAAACACCAAAGCCAGAGTACAAGAATGATCGAGCCAGCGCCTTCTGGGATGTGCCAGTGTATGCAGAGAAGACGGAAGTAAGAGCAAATCGGATCGATGCAAGAGTTGTGGATAAGCAGAAGAAGAAGATGCTACTATTAGAGATGAGTTGCCCGTGGATGACAAACAGGAAACAGAAGGAAGAAGAGAAAACCTCGAAGTATGCACCGCTCAGATGGGAGATCCGTCAGCAGTACCCACACTATAAGATTGCACAGTACAACATCATCATCGATGTGCTCGGACACGTATCAAGAAAGACACTAGATAGTATTAAAGAACTTGTAGATGTCAGGGCAGATAAGATCTTACTGGATATGCAAAAGGCAGTCATCTCAAGTACCCTTAACATTGCACGGAGTTTCAAAGTTCTCACTGCGCAGGACCTATGAACTGGCCAAACTTTTACCCATAACTTTTTGGGTTTCTAATTTCATTTGAGAATTTCTTTATTTTATGAATTATTTTAGGCTATGGTAATGACAAGCTACGCGATTGCGCCTTGTCAATATCTTATTTAAGGAGGCATCCTTACGTTTTATTGCCACAATAATAATAGTAATAATAATAATCTATGTCATTTATGATAAATGTCGCCTTACGCTTTCGTCCAATAATAAAAAATGAGCAGTAAATGTTAGAATTACCTTAAATATTCTCTCCGGTAAAAATATTTTTTCATTCGGTGGACACTTAACGAAAGTGATGAAGGTGGGGATTTTGAGGGTATGTTTTTTCTTGATAATTTACGTGCGCTTGTTTTCCTTTGCTTTAACTTTTTCTATGCAATGCCTGTGTACGTTGCATACCCGTTTAAGGGGGGAGAAATGAATAGGAAAAAACGACACCATCAGAAAGTAGACCATGATTGTCATTAAAATGAGAACCAACCAATACTTGTGTCTAAAATTCGACTTGCATCCATTGTGTAAATACATAATTGTTTTGGGGGAAATAATTTCTCATTACAACCGGTATGATGCGAGTGTATTGTTCAAGGGATTATATAGTGACAGAGCAACCAAAACCACCGAGGGAAATTATATGATGCTTTGCAATTCAGCTAATCTTATGGCATATGAAAATACAGTCTGATAATCTTGTCGCGGCCGGGTTGTTCAAAGCTGAGTCAAGATAACATAGCGGTCAAACTTAGGGCATGCGCAGGGAGGGGGTTCAATTATGGGCGTGCGCTTCAATTTTCGGTGCAAAATTTTTAAAAGAAATATTAAAAACAACCGCTGTCTTGCAAAAAAGCGAAATATAAATTGAAACGCTCGTGGAAATCTTTAAAAGGAAACAAAACAAAATTGTGGGAAAGGAAACTCGACACTTTCAAACACTAACCTTATTCAAGTATGGGTATCCTGCTGATTTATCGTTCTATTTGGAGCTTTACCAAAAAGGGAATACGCCTCAAATATGTCAAAACACCGTGACTCACTGGCTTGAGGGTTGTTCATATTTTTGTGACAACTTGGTTCTGACGGAAGGTCACCACCTGGTCTTTACAACGTTCGCACATGCGCAGACCTTTGACCTCTGTGTTGATTTAGACAACCTACGTCAGTGCGAAATCTGATTTCAGATGTGAAAGCTCCAAAAGAAAATTCAGCATACTTCTTTTTGTCTGCAAATTGATGATTAGGTGCTCTAAAAAGAACAGCGAAGATAATCTGAACAAAGGAATAACTGAGAAACCCGGATGAAAATCTTAACCCTGTGTTAAATAATGGAAAAATTTTTATAGAAAATGATAGAAAAATTCATGTGGAAGAAGAAGGTGCACAACTTGGTGATCAAATCAAACGTGTAACACCAGTTCTTAAGTTGCACGTTGCGAGAGTACTCTGCTTCATGCTTAAGTTTAGTAACCGGTAGCCTGTGGCCAGGCCATCAAGACGCGAGTTTCTCCGCTCCCAGTAAGACTTGAGACGAATCGGGGAGAGGTTTGTCGGACCTCTCGTTGGCCCGCGTCGCTCAGAGCCTCATACTTTCCTGCAGGCTAAGAAACGCTCGTGCCGAAACGCAAGTAATGAGAGGCTCCTCGGAGGCTAAAGCTTAGCAAGGAATCAATGATGACAAAGGGTTAATTCCTAGAAAGATTTCCCCGCCACATTTAAAAAGCACAAGAATTACAAATTGATGATTTGGACCAAATCAAATAAACATTTACTCAGTAAATCGCAATTTAACCGATAACAATCTTAATTTTAATTTGTCAACACATTCGCCTTTACGTGACTTGATAGCATTTCAAAGTCTAATCAAAGTTACAGATCAGACGGGGAAAGCTCTGTTCTGTTCAGCTGTATCCTGAAAATTAAACGTTTCAGTCTCTATTTCTAAAGCAGGAGTTACTAACTGCTTTCTCAGCAAAACTACAGAAATTGATATATTGTTAAACGGCAAAGAATTAATGTGAGCAACAAACAGCGGTTTTCTGATAACGCTGCCTCGTATTCAAGTAACAATATTTTTTTTCATCCATAATTTTTTTTAGTCAGAGATCGAATCGGAAGTCACACATCCGCGGCAAGCTGGACGGAAAAGAATTTGATGTGCCTAACCGATAAAATTATTTTTTATTACTAAATTCAATTAGGTCAAAAATTGAGTTCATTTGCAGAAAAGACTATTTCCCCAAGGAAAATATCGCTTACCACCTGCTCCTGAATTATTCATTTTAATCTTAAACCAATATAATTGGAAAGTTTTACGATATCTGTGCATATGTTCTGTTTGCAGGCGTTTAATATTTAATTTTCAAAAATCCGCCGTGAGAAAAAAAATATATACTTTATTTATTCCTGTTGTTTTCTTCCGAGAATTTCAGGTTATAAGGATAATTAGCTGACAAAATGTTTTTTTTTCCATGCAGATGACTGAGCATTTCAGCAGACTGCCGACTATTTCAATTATCTTATTAACCTTTCTTATTTATACAGTGCAGCCTCAATTGAATGGTACTTTACCATGCACAAGAATTTCGGGAATTTGTTATCGATTTTTAATGCATAACAACCTCTTTCATTCATGCAAGGCTAACTACACGCAACGATAAGGAAGAAAGAAGGAGACATTTTAAAACGAAGTAGCTTTGAAGACAAATTGAATGTGTCTGTTGTTGTTTTTCCGTGGTGATAGATCAGCAGATCAGTGATGAATAATGTGGTAGAAAGGTCGATTAAAGGTGGACAAACAGGCACGTTTCATCGCCTAAGCTTGAGAACCATGTAGTAACTGTTTCGGAAATGGCTGCTTTATCAGAAACTCATCGCAACAACTCAAGGATTAATTCCTCGAATTTGAATTCAATGGCTTTACCAACGACGCCGTCTTTCCGTTCCCCGTGCGATGACCCAAGACTTTTCGCGAGTTCTGCAGTTTCTGTGGTCGTTGCTTCATGCTACGCAATACTTATACCGGTAACCCTGTTAGGTAACGGCTCAGTGATTGCAGCCTTCGCTACGAACGCCAGGCTACGAACTGCCACAAATATCTTGATCCTCGGCCTCGCGGCCAGTGATTTGCTAGTAGGAGCGTTCGCAGTTCCATTCTGGACGTTCATTGTTTCGCACGCAGATATAACGGCGGGTCACTGTTACTCAACGTATTTGATTTACATAAGCTTTGACATTTTCGCAGGATGTGCGTCAATCCTGCAGCTCACTGCTATCGCTTTGGAACGTTTCCTCTCGACGCAATGGCCGCTGTTTCATCGCAAGTTACCGCAATATGTCTATTGCATCATGTTGCTGGTTTCATGGCTCTGCGCTTTAACGATGGCAGCTCTACAACCGTTGCAGGCGAAAACGGAGACATGGCGGAAGAGCTACACTGTAGCTTTATTCGTATCCTGTTGTTGCTCTCCGTTGGTAATCATTGTGACTTCCTACTGCTATATTTTCAAAATCAGTCGGTTTCAGGGCAGAAGGCGCAAGACAAGTTCTTCCAAGCGCTGTGGGCTGACTCCCGGTGGAGCGATCAAGGAACTTAACGTTGCTATCACAGTGGCGGTAATCACTGTCCTCTTTGTAACTGCTTGGTTTCCATTCTTCGTCGTTACCGTTATTGCTACGTTTTGCTTGGGGTGTTTACCGTCCCCGCCTGCTCTTCTGCATCTGGTCAAGTTCCTCAAGTTCTTACAATACAGCAGTAGTGCTATAAATCCATATATATATGCTTACAGAAACACAGAAATGCGGAAAACACTGGCGAAAATTGCTAGAAAACTTTTCCCGTGCGATCTGGGGATCGGAACAAGAAATGTCATTGATAGAGGAGACTCTATTCAGCGCTATCGACAGTCAATAATACAAGCCGATCAAAAACCTGAATGTTATCAGACAATTTCGAGGAACAATCTCTCTTCAGCGGGAGAGGTTTTCGTGCAAGACACGAAAAGCAAACCCGCTAAAAAATCACAAAAGAAAAACAAAAAGAAAACAAAAGTGATTTATTTGTAGATACGGTTGTTTTCATTCCTACACAATGATGTTTTAACTTTGGTTTTATTGAAATGTGACACCAAACAGTGATTTATTTTTTGATAGATATAATATATACAATTATAGATCCCGAAGTTTCAGTTCTCATTTTTGTAGTACTACGTAAATCGGAAACGTTTTGGCACAGCTTTCCCTAAATCGTTTAGCACTTCGGCGGAGCCACAAGTTTAAACAGTGTTGTCCAAAAACTAGCGATAATTTTTTTTCTTGAAATGTCCTGAAAAATGCTTCATCAAACGATGAAATTCAGTCAAATCTTAGACAGAGAGAAGATTCTTGATTTCGTTATTCAAGCATGTATAAGAATGTTCCTCCCCCTGGAGGTCCAGCTAAAAGTGAGAACCTATAATTATTAGGATCAAAAATGGATTAGCCGCGAGCGACCTTTTTTGTACCTATTTTTTAACTCAGACACTCAAAAATGCAAATTATTTGTTCAAAAGTAGTTGCTATTCCAAAAATATATCTTCTGGAGTCTTCCACACAACTTTACATGAAAAGTTCTTGTCTCCTTAATATACTGCATCATTATTTAAATGTAAGTCTCTCCTTAAGATTAGATTACTACCAGATATTTTAAGAACCTGGATTTAGAGATAAATTGTTTATATTTTGCAAATAGTCACGGTGATTGTGATAAACAATGAACGAAACTATTAATGTGCAAATGACGTCTGTTTCATGTTTTTCAAGCGTAATTAGCATAACAAAAAAAGTGTTTAATCGCCTTCTTACCGGATAAATCAACACTTGTCGTATTCCTTCTTGATGCGGATTAAGGCCCCGTGAACACGTATCCGGATAAATTTGAAAACGGATAAATATTTATACGGTTACGGGTTCCTTCCACACGTAAACGGCGTTTTCACACACCGAAAACGGATAAATTTGAAAACGCTCTCCAGAGTGGATAAATTTGAAAACGCTGGCTAAGCGTCTCCGTGTGGACGCCTTATCCGGATAATTTGAAAACGATTTGAAAACGCTGACGTAACAATTCAAACCTAGTCCAACGCGTGCTCTCGGCCACAGGCGCAATTATTAAAAGAAGGTTAGCTGAAAGTGCACTGTTTTCTGGCCATGCGAACACTGTTGATAAGTTTGAGAAGCCCAAGAGCACAGCCAAGAGGATTCAGGCTCAGGATACGCGAGACTGTGGGCACATGTTTTGCTCTAAAGAGCATGCTCAGTAGGCGACGTCATCGTTATCAAATCGTTTTTGCGTTTACGTGTGGACACCAAAAACGATTCACAAACGGCAACGTGTGAATGCGGATAAATTTGAAAACGGATAAATATTTATCCGTTTTCAAATTTATCCGGATACGTGTGGACGGGGCCTAAGTTTCTCGAATTTTTTCCTTTTTTTTTCCTCGACCAACTATTTTAGATATTAGACTACGAGTAGTTTGGTTTAGTTGTTCTTTTATTCAAATGAAATTGAATCAACAAAAAAATATTAAAATCGGCGCTAGTGTGTGCAAGAGACACTGGCTTGATTCTTTAACCGATTTCTTTTAACTGTCGCGACGAATTGAACTTAGAAAGAGTGGACGAGCAAAATGCACTGATTCAAAAAATGTATCTATTGACTACGAGCAAGAAACACGGGGAAAATATAGCTAAGAGGCCATCCTTACAGGCGCAGAGGAAGTGGGACCAGGTACAAACCTGGAGTCCATGAGGTTAGTCCAACTCTCTTCTTTTTTTGTTTATTTGTTTTGTTTTGTTTTGTTTTTTTGTTTTGTTTCTTTTTTCGGGTTGCCTATGTTACGTCTTTTGCTTTTCGTTAGAGTGCTATACCTTATTTACAAGACCATAGATAAACTACACCCTGTTCAGTGGTATTACATCATAATATTCCCTGATGGTATTTATAACTAACAAAGAGAAACGACATCAACAGTGAGGTTGTCTTCGAGTTTTTCTGACCAAAATCGAGCGAAGCTTTCAAATTCTTCATTTGGCTCCTTCTCAAAGCAGTTAAGCCTTAAGTGAAACTTAACATTTTCATTATGTTCAAACGCTAAGGCAAAATACGTTATCATCATTCTGTTTGAACAACGATACCAGTATTGCTCTTTTCCTGTTTTCTTTTTCATTCATTGATTTATTAGCTATTTCCTGTTTCTTGTAGGCCAGTTTACAGTGGTGTCGTATTTGTGGGAGTGGTTTGGTAAACATGAGGAAGGCACTCGAAATCTCGCGAGATCAGCGCACGTTGTTTGGGGTCTCGACCAAAGTATTTTTATAGGGAATGCAGTTTCAACTTTAACCTTCTTTAAAAAAGTCTTTGTCCGCAAAGTAAATTTATCCTGAAGAGTTTGCTCAAGTTACTATTGGAGACGCAAACCGCTCAGCAAAATGAGGCTATGATTTCGGTCACAAAATTCGGCATTTTTAAAATTTTCGGAAACAAGAAGAGAATTATGAGGAGTTTTTCGGTGTGCGATTTCTATCAGTTTTCTGTTTAATTACCAATTATTTCCACAAAAAATCTGTTCCAGATCAATGACGAACAATTTCCTTTAAAAAGGCTGATTGTATACAGTCACCTTGTTTTTGTTTAGATAAAATTCATCGGCGCCACAAAGTCGCAAACTGTTTCTTCTGCAGACCTCCGCTATTACAGGATTGCAGTCACTGCGTGTGATCGCCGCGGAGAGGTAAGGGGGAGGGAGGGGGGAGGGGAGGAGGCACATGGACACCCCATTATTCAGCCTGGGGGAAGTCCTAAATTGCAATATTTAGCACCTTCGATAAGGTTTCTTTCCAGACCCGATGTTTTGCACGGGGTGTATATGTCGGCGGTAATACTAACATTTATTTCTTTCTATGGTTTCATGTACACCATAATCCGTCAAAGCAGAGGATCAACATGAAAAGGAAAGTTCTCACGTAAAGAAGTTATGGTTGTTGCTTCAAGACATTGGCAGCACACCGTAACACAAACTTTCACCTCTCCCTCCCCTCCCCCCCCACCCCCTTCTCCCAAAGGGCCTATTTTCAAACTCGAACTTTTGTTGTTAATTTTCTTTATGAATGAAACTTTAGACGTATAAATATCAAAGTTATGATCTTGTGAAGATATCGATCTATTTAACTTTACGCAAATGCATCGGGACAAAAACCAAATTAGTGCGGAATCACTCAACATTACTAAACACAAATGTTTGAGCAAGCATAGCACTCAAACTTTGTTCATAAAATTGGTTGAAACTTGAAGAAAAAACATATTTATAATAGCACTTAACATCCCAACATACAAATTCTAGGGCAGCTAAAGCACTGAATTTTTCCGTAAAATACTTTGACTTGTAAATTTATTTCACAGTTTATTAATGTGTTTACACATATAAAAACTCGAGTGACTTCTACTGCGCAACTCATGCACTCTTCTTGATTATAGGAACAATTTTGCGCGCAGAAATTATCAAATTCAAGGCAGTGATGTGTTCTCGTAGCTCACTTTTAAATTAACACACTGGCCACCGAGTAAGTTGAAAATTGATAGTACTGTCAATTTTCAACTTACTCGGCTGCCATTTTCATCATGTATGCTCTGACAATGCCACGAGACTGTCGCTAGAGACTGACGCTAAGCTTGGAAAGTCAAAAAAATGACTTCTCCCGATGTGCGTCGATTGTAAACTAAAAAAATGATCATAAATTTTACGAGTTTAAAAGTTCATAATTCACACATGAGGAAATGAGGTTATTAGTCGAGGACCAAAGTCACCCGACGAGTTCCGCTAAACTTTGTTTCCATTTTCATACAACACATGGGTCACGATTATATTTCACATGTGGTAAGATATGCAGAAAATTAAATTCTCCAGTATGCCATTATACGCATGAACATGACGGCTATCAAAAGCTGCACATTTTCCCTAGTGTTACCGGAGACAACTAAACGGGCTAAACAATGGGAGAACCACGTCAATTCACGTGATCCTAAAAGAGTCTTCCATTCATCTTCTTAACATATTAACTTGCTTCACTCACCTTTAGAAACGCAGCTTAGTGTTAAATTCAAATCTCAACCAAGACATTCGTCGATAGCTCTCGAGAGCTAGAACGAGACTCGCTCGGACAGGACTCAGCTCAGGTGTTGATGATCTTCACTTCGGCGTCGTAGTGTATGGACTGACTGAGTAAAACCTAAATATGAAGCCAAAACAATTAGAGATTTTGAAATGAGATTAATCTGACTATCGCGTTATGTTACGTTCCTTTCGGAAAAAATATAAATAACAGTGATAAAGACAGAGAGAGAAAAACAGATCAGAAAGATGATTACTAGGGAAATGCAAACACAGAAACGAGGAAAAGAGAATCCTAAAATATTTTCTGCTTAGTCTTACACTAGTACCTCACATTTGCCGAGGAGTGTATAACTTCAGAACGGCGACAAAAGGAACTTCCATTTTCCTGAAATATTTCTCGAGTTGTTCGACATGATTGAGTTCGAAGATAATACCAAATGAGCTACAAAGGCTCGTGTCATAAGTGAGGCAAGTTTGTACCCGCCATTTTGAATTTTTTTAATTGGAGTTCATCTGTGAGGATCGGAAACGCTATTCATCGTCATGTAGAGGCAGAATCATGACTTGTTTTAACAATTTTTGATAAGATTCCTTCACAAGGAACAGAGGTCCCACGAAAAAAAAAAAAAAAAAAAAAAAAAAAAAAAAGGCGGCATCGCATCGCAGCTAAAAATAACGCCCAACTAAATAATGATCTGGGAAGCAATTTACCTGTGAAGATCAGCAAGTCAAGTCATGAAAGTAAAAAGTATGATTAATTGATTTAATTAGTAATGACTTTGACCCTACCTGCTCGGAAGTGTGAAATACCTTACAGAAATTTTGAATACTTTAAAACGAAAATTATGGAGCCCGTGGAGTTTAGCACAGTAAGCATTTTCGTGATGTTTCCTAAATCACTGCCACTCTAGT